TTGCATGAGGATTAAAAGTAATCATTGTTACTGTTTTCACAGTTAATTAAAAATGATTAGTTCACTGTAACATCTAAAATGTTTGAACTAAAACACTTTGATTATCAACATTTGTAAAATAGTAATGATAATAAAAAAGAGTGTTCTTTCACTTGAATTTTCAAGAAAGAAAGTCTCAGGATGGTCAACCTGTATTTCTGGATTCAAATCAATGAAATGACAGTTTCTGTCCCACAAGGTTCTTAAGGTCAAGGGTTTTGACCTTAGGCTTAGTTCACTACAAGTTCCATCCATTTATTTGAGATAAATTGTCTTTTCAACATTTTAATCGCTGTTATTTTGTTATTTTGACTAATTAGTGCCGTGGTTTTGATACATGATGTAATACACATCAAACGTTTCACTCGCTTTTTTTTTTTTACTGTAAGCTTATTTATTACATCTGAAATGTTGTGCACTGTAATGTATGCAGGAGTTCTGACACAGCAGTTGTGCACGTGTCCTGCAGAGCTGTCTGGAGACGCTGTGCGTAAAACACCTGTCTCAGGGCGCACAGCTGGAGGAGGATGAAGACGCTCCCCGCGGGACATGCAGTCCGTGTCTCTGCTAGAGGAGCGTGGCGCGGTCACAACATCCACTCGTACTTTTAATAAATAATCAAAATAAAAATGCGCAATGACTTTGGACTTTTCGGGGCGGAGTTGGTGGATCTGAGCGGTCAAAATGAGTTCCAGGATCTTGTTCTGACAGGATCCGGCTCACATGAACCACTGTCTGAATATAAAAATCAAGAGCTGTTCATAACGTGTAATACGTGTAGAACGGGATGTGAACCGGAGCTTGAACCATCACACCAGATGTTTAAAACTCCGCCTGTCAACTCGAAGCAGTCAGCTGACTCTGAATGAAGCAGTGAAGCGGTTCACACGTCATCAGTGACGTCACATGAAGCACGCTCCGGCCCACTGCTTCACCGTAACTACCCTGTCGAGTTTGAAGCGTGCTTTGAAGCTTCGTGTTGGAGGGAACTTCACTACTAATTAGACTTCACCGTACGGGAGTGTGTGAAGAATGAACAGGGGAGGGAGTTCGTTTCATTTCTATTTCTGTAACACACTTGAGTTCAAACTGGTTTAAAAGTATCTGTTTTCTTAGACTCTTGGGGGTGGACAGAGCTAAAAGTTTCCAGCCAGTATACGTGCTCTTGATGATCACCTGGCTACGTGTGAGAGACAACATGTCCGTGTGGTCCAGGCTCTGGTAGAACTCTAGAATGAGTGAAAGTGAACACAAGAGTGACGTGAGTCCATGAGGTTTCCTGCACCAGGAGCATTTCATCACAGCTTACGGTTTCAAGCTGTGTGAGGAAACTGAAACACAGTTAAGCTCATACATACGTCATGCCTGACACATGATCAAAACAGCTTCTCTCCAGCGTAAACTGTGAAGTTACATATAAATATTTCATCACATGTAAGCGCACGTGTGCGAGGAGCACTTGTGTTGTCAGAGAGAAGAGTGTGACTGGTCGTGCACGAGCCCAGCTGCCTTTAAAGCCTTCAAACTTCTGTGAAGTATAACTAATAATCATGTGATCGATAATAAGCACAAAGAAACTTTATTTAGTAATTCAGTTCACAACTCATTCATTCATAAAATATACTAGAGGTTTTATCTGTTGCGTGCTACAGGAAACCTAATGCACTGGTTTGCTTCCAGTGAGCGCGACACTAACCAGGAGCTATTGTGACGACTCTGATGCCCAGTGGTGCCAAATCCCGAGCAATGGGGAGGGTCATTCCAACGATGCCGCCCTTTGAAGCAGAATATGCTGCTTGTCCCATCTTCAAAGACAAAAACTGAATAAATTAAAGCTGAAACAGATCCACTGCGTCTCCTCTGCTCCATGGAACATTACCTGTCCGTCAAAAGCTGCCACGCTGGCAGTGTTAATAATGCAACCTCTGTGTCCATCGGCATCCGGCTCATTGTTCTTCATCTCCCCCACAGCGAGGCGGATCACGTTAAAGCTTCCTGCGATGTTCACCTACAGGACACAACTCACGTCAGGTGGGACTTTGTGACAGGGCCGGTTCACGCTCTTCTTCTTACATTGATCACACGCTGGAAGTCCTCCAGACTGTGAGGGATGTCCTTATTGACGTTGTATGTTTTAATAGCCACAGCAACGCCGGCACAGTTCACCGCAACGTCTAATCTGCCGAACTTCTCTCTGGCCAGAGACACTGCTGACTGCACATCTGCCTCTGATGTCACCTGCACGCAACACAAGTCTTTAAACAAGGACAGACATTTATTCACCAGCTTTCTGCAGTCCAGCATATATACATACATACAGTGAGGACAAAGTTCTGGCATGAGTTGGGATTTAAAGCAGACACGACAAATTTAAAGGATCAAATATGATCAAGAACTATTTTTTCATTCAACCTTTATTTATACAAGTTAATCCCATTGAGCCTCGAAGACTCATTTACAAGAGAGACCTGATTTAACAAAGAATGATGACTGTATGTACTGTATAAAATACTTTCTAATGATGTTACAAGTATCATGATATAAGTTGTTTGTTGTGGTTTCTCGGTTTTGTCTTGTCTTTCTCTTTCCACAGGTCTAGAGTCAGACTTCAATGATGTTGATTTGTGTTCTCTTTATCCCTCTCTCTCTCCTCTGTTCCTATCTCCTTCTTTACATTTTAACTCTTCTCTCACTTTTCTGCTTTGTTTTCTTCTTTGTTTTCCGTCCCCGTGTCCATTACATCTGAAACAAACCCAAAGCAAATTCTAATAAAATTTAATTTATATATCAAGCAGAGCATTAAGACCAGCCATGATGCTCTGCTTGTGAAAGTAAATCTGTTGGACATCACTTTGACACTCACACAATAATTCTGAGTGTCACAATGATGGACAGGACATATATATATATATATATATATATATATATATATATACATATATATACATATATATACATATATATACATATATATACATATTTACATATATATACATATACATATACATACATACATATACATATACATACATATGCATATATATACATATATATGCATATGTATGTATATGTATGTGTATATATGTATATATATGCATATATATACATATATATGCACATACATACATATATATGCATATACATACATACATACATATACATACATATATATATACATACAT